TATGATCTCACTTACATGTGGAATCCAAAAAACAAAACAGAGACAAACTCATAGATACAAAGAACAAACTGATGGTCGCCAGGGTGGGGGTGAGGGGGTGCAAGAATGAGTGAAATAGATGAAGAAGATTAAGAGGTACAAACTTCTTCCAGTTATAAAATAAATGTCATGGGGATATAATGTATAGCATAGGGAATACAGTCAATGATGTTGTAGTAACTTTATATGGTGAAAGATGGTTACTAGACTTGCCATGGTGATCATTTCATAATGTATATGTGTCGAATCACTATGTTGTACCTCTGAAACTAATATAATATTGTATGTTACTACACTTCAATAAAAAAAAAGGAAATGGGAACTGACATTTGAGTCCTTACTATGTACCAGGTAGTGTGCCAGCCTTTTTACATATGTTATTTCTCTTGGTCCTTGCAAGAACTTCATTTTATGCATGAAGCATCTGGGGTTCAGATAGGTTAGATAATTTGCCCGCAGTTACACAACTGGTAGAAGGCTGAGTTATAATTTCAAACTTGGCTCTGGACTTCAGATTCCAAGTTCTTTTCTATATTTTTCACTGCCTCTTTGAGGATTTCTTGCATCTTTACCCAATTCATCAGCTGTGGCAGTTACGAGACAGCCTTCATTCAGACATTGCCTGATTCGGCTGGGAGATAGGACATGAAACAACCAGATGACACTGTTTATAATGACCAGAAGATACTGCATACAGCATGATTATGTAGGGTGTAGACTGTAGGCACGATCATATTTGGAGAAGAAAAGTGCACTGTGGTTAGTGTTAGCTGAGAATACCGTGTGAAGGAACATACACACTGACATACCTTGAGAGGAGCTCTGTAGTCTATGGGATGTTTAAGTTGCCAGAGAAGAGAGTGGAGGCCATGATTCAACACAGAGGTGATTATGAGCATTAAGAGTGGCGGAAGTGGTGAGGAGTTTCCATACTGTGCATTGAGACAGGGCACTGATGGAGACCTCAGGCCACGCTGAAGAGCCTGCACTGATCCCATTACAGCTCATTTTAGCAATGCACTCAGCTCAGCTCTGCACTGGGAGTGGGGTCTGGGAGTTGCTTGTTCAAGTCCCCAACACTAAGTTTATAGGATGTGCAAGAAGCAGACCCAGTTTGGCCAAACTATGCAAAGCTTATGTTGGGCTTATAGTGCAAATAAGACTAAATTCTAGTTATTTTGTTTTCTAGTTTGGTTTGGATGACCAGACCTCTGTTTTCTGCAAAGATGATGATGAATTAAGCATGTTTTCTGTCACAAAAATTGACAAGATTAAGTGTCCCATCGTCATCGCATTTCTGATTATGGAAGGATCATTAACAAGCAAACATCTGGTCATTATTCCTGATGAATCTGTTCCTTGATATCTCTTGACAAGGAGAGTGGGAGGGGTCAGTGAATTCAAGCACAGATGAGCCGCGTTGTGACGACCCTGGCCATTGACTCTAGTAGTTATTGTTAATGAAGCATTCTGCGTAATTGATTATTTGATATTTAAAGATATATCCATCATATTGTGCCATAGGGTACTTGCATTGGCTCAAAAGCAGAAAAACTATTCAGAAGAATGTGCATTTGGAGCTTTGGTTGGTGACTCGGCACAGTGAATACAGAAGACTGTGGGGGCTGGGTGTAAAGTGTTGATTAGACACAGGTTCCTGACACCAAGCTATGGATAGTAGAGAGAAAAGTAAAAGGTCTTCCCTAATACCCAGAAAGCCTTATTCTCAATGAGGCATACTCACCTACACCCTTTTCCTAAATGCTGAGGACAACTCCCTGACTGAGTACCTGCCACGGCAGGTGACACCTCAGAGACTTGCTGAGTGAACCGTCAAGAAGGGCACACGCTAGGGCAGCCTCCTGCACGGGGTGTGCTATTTCTGGACCTTGCTGCCTAGAGGCAAGCTGCTAAGTACCATCTTTCCAGAGCCTCTTCTGCCACCTCATCAGGCCATGTGTTTAACTTCAGAGTTCAGGGAGGATGACGAACAACCAAGCAGGATTCTCCTTGAGCTCAGACAGGAGAGCAACTTCTTGAAACCTGTGCCCTTCCAACTCCAAAGATGTGCATAACAGGTTTGTTCCAGGTGGAAGCATCTTTCTACCTGGCAGCCCCTGGCCCCTTTGCTCCTTCTTGCATCTGAGATTTAGAACCACTGTCATGAGAGCTGGAAGGGGCATCAGACACCTTCCAGGCAATGCCTCGTAGTACAGAATGGGACAATGAGAGTTCAGAGAAGTGCCTTGGAAGGAGCTGTGAGGAGAAGCAGCAGATCTCGGAGGGAGCACAGCGTTCTTTCTACTCTGTTTCTTCTATATACAAAAGGGTAATGTATTAGGTCTGAAGCGACATAATAATGCAGAAGATAAGAGCAGAAGCAATTGCTCTTTTGTATTACTTTATACAAAGCAGGCACTGAGGAGTTAAATAATTTGCCTACAGTTACACAGCGGGTTTGACATTTTATTCTCTTTCATTTCTCTGTTCTACTTCTCCTCGCAGTGTTTTGGTTTTCCTCTCACAGTGATCCTCTTATCTGTCCCATCCAAGGCATTCCCAGAGCCGCTTACCTGGTTCCAGCCCTGAGCAATGGCAGCCTTTTGTCTGTCTCCCTGCCCCCAGCCTCTTCCTTCTTCAGCTCCCCTGTCACAGTGCTGTTTCAGTCAGATATTTATGTCCCTCACTAGGATACTCCGCTGCTCAAAGTTTGTCAGTGTCAAATCTCTTCTTACAGAGGAAAACCAAGAGCCTGAGTGTGGTATTCAATTTCATCCATTATCTGTCCCCAATTATTAGGTAATGGAAAGTGAACCTGCCTGGACAGCTGGGTTGCTGAGGAGCATCTCGGCTAAGCCATTAGCTGTGCGACATGGGAGAGGTGCTTAAACTCTCGGCGATTCAGTTTCCTAGTGCGCGATGCAAGAGGTTGGGACTGGAGGACCCCTCTTGTGTTCTCAGGTCATTCTAATTCTAGCCTCGGCACTCACTACTCTCCATCACGATCCCTGTGCTTTGGTCAACTATACCTCTAGCTATTTTCTCACACAAACCATTCGTCTTATTATTTAATTTCACCCTGTGGAAATCCTATCCATCTTTTAAGATGCAGCCAAAAAGCTACTTGGAGCCATTTCTCATTGCTCAGAGAAGCAATGCAAAGTCCTGACCGTGTTCTCTCATCCCTCATTTCTGTGCCTCTTTTACAACACTTTCTATCACGCCTGTCTGTGCGTCCTTCTTTTTTCCTTCTTCCCTAAAGGAAGATCTGTGTCTTGTTTATCTTTGTTTCCCCTATAGTGCCTGACTCAATGCTTTTTACAAAATTGATGTCCAATAAATACTATTCGTTGAATTGAAAAACTGCGGTTTGTGCCAAGAAAAAAAAGTGTGCCTTTTTCTCACTGGAAACTGATTGGGGTAGTACCTAAGATCAGCAAGAAACACATAATGAGATTTAGCTATAACTCACCCTGATATTTATGCTAGTTGGCACATTCAGGTGTCATTCGGGCATTCAGAACTGAACTGGTCTGTTCAGTATTGGATAATTTGCTGCACATGAATTAATTGGTGATGTCCATCTTATCTATCACTATCTACTTTCCTTTTTGTAGGAAAAATCTTAGCCTATGTCTAAGCACATTCCATAATGGAACTAAACATATCTGAACATACCCAGAAGATGGATAGGAAGGTCCATAAAGATTGGATCTGCATAAGGGAATCAGGAAACTCATACAAGAGAATTTATCCTAAAGGCAGAGGGAGTCAGAGAAGGTTGGTCAGTAATAAAGATCCAGCGGTTAGGGAGGAGATGTCCTTCTAAGAAATGATAATAACAAGAGGTAACATTTATTAAGTTCATACCAAGGGTCAGGCATGGTTCTAGGAGCTTTGTTAGCATTATTTTGCTTCATCTCCATCATATCCTATTAAGATAAGAGCTATTATTTGTCTTTAGAAATGAAGAAACTTAGATCAAATGTGTCTGTATATATTTAATAAGTGGCAGAGACAGAATCAAACCTAGGTTGGTCTGACTCTAGAGCAGAGTTTGGCAAATTACAGGCCAAATCTGGCTTGTGGCCTGTTTTTATATGGCCCTCAAACTACAGAGGTTTGTACATTTCTAAAGGGTTGAAGAAAAACAAACCAAAACAAAACCGAAGAAGAATATGTGACAGCAGCCATATAAGGCTCTCAAAGCCTGAAATATTTACCATCTGGCCGTTGATAGAACACTTTTGCAGCCCTGGGTTAGAGCACCCAAGCCCCTCACCGCTCAGGATGTCAAGGCCTTTAGAATTATCGCTGGGCTCAGTTCCCCTGTGGACTTGTCTTCCAATACTAGTGAAAGAAAGTGTAGCAAATAATACTTGAAAAAGTGATTTTACTGAAGATTCTTTAAGATATTGGGGGGATAAGAGCATCACTCTTGTCCATATATGATAAAATATAACACAAGGAAAGGACAGAGGCATGGAACACACGGTGGCTTCTATATTCCAAAGACTACCAAGGCTTTGTTGAGCTCTGGTGTGCAGCAGGCCCTGGAGCTTCAGCTGTGCAGGGCGGTGCGCCATGTTGGTACTAGATGTTGGCAGTGTGAGGCAGCCTGTGACCATAGACCTGCCTGAGGGAAGATGAAACAGGAGAAGAAAAAAGAAGCCATCACATGGCAGCTGACAACAGATTTTATGAAAAAACATGACTTAAAACCTAGCTTCAGTCTAGGAGGGAAGGATGAATAGGTGGCTGTGAAACTATTCTGTGTGATGCTGTAGTAGTGGATATATGATATTATGCATTTGTTGAAACCCATAGAACTATATAACACAAAGAGTGAACCTTAATGTCAGCTATGGGCTTTGTTAATGATACTGTATCAATATCGGTTTATCAATTATAACAAATGCAGTACACCAATGCAAGACGTTAATAATAGGGAAAACTGTGCAGGGGGATGGGGTAAGGGACATATGGAAACTCTCTGTACTTTCTGCTTAACTTTTCTGTAGATCTAAAACTTCCCTAAAAAATAAAGCTTGTTTATTAAGAAAAAACTCACATAGATTCTATCAGAAAAATAATTTTATTAGTTGAGAGAAACATTTCATAGGGCTGTGATTTCATAATAGCAGGTGAGGATGAATCATGAAATGCTATTTATTTTCTTAAGAGAAGCTCATTAGTGTCCCTCTTCCCAGAAGACTTGTGTGGCCTGAGGAAAACCATTTATTTCCGGTAATTTATTACTTAACTGCAGACTTGTTAATTTGAGTGAAAATTATCAGACATTTCTCTTATTGAGAAAAGTTAACGGAAGTTAACGGAAAAAAGACTGAGTCCATCAAAAAAGTTGTTGGAAAAGCTTGTACAAATATATCAACAAAAAAAATATTTATTAAATTCTCACCAACTGGAAAATTCAATGGGTAAATTAAAAGAAATATAAGACATGGCTCTTGGCCACAAAACAACAAGCAATCTCAGTGATGAGATCGAATGTATATGCATACGAGTAAGACCACATTTTTCATTTAAAAGTTAATTATTGAATACTCATTAGATGCCAGACATTGTTTAAGTCCCCGAAGAAAAATCCCTACTTTTGTGGAGGTTATATTTTAATGGAAAAATTTAGATAATAAGCAAAGAGAAAAATAAATGAAGAAAATCATTTTAGTTGGTAATAAATGTTATGAAGGACATAAAATGGGGGCAATCTGTTGGTGATTTGGACTGAGAGTTAGTTTAGATTTTGTGTTCAGGGAGGGCCTCACAGAGCAGGTGACTTCTAAACTGAGATCTGAATTGTAAAACAGATTATATATTAGTATTATAGGCTATGTGGGTTGGGGTGGGAAGAGAATTTCTCATTTCCTTTTCTTATTCCTGAGCCGTTAGAGGAGGGAACTGAAACCAGAACCTACAACCTCCCTCTCTGTCCCCTACTTTCTCCTCTCCATAGAGGAGAGCAATGATTTATCTGATTCCTCATGATCTAAGAATTTCACTGGACTAGAGTTTACTGGTGGGAGAAATCATTATATCGCTGTTCCTAAAGGCATGTAATCGGCTCCACAAGACTACCTGAACCCCAGCATAGCAGGCTCTCTTGATTGGCTTGAAGGAAGTACATCTCAGCAGAATCTTCCCTCTAATTCCTCTGCATGTCAGCTTCTCTCTTGGTGATGGCAGATAAGTCAGGTTGGGTCTATCCTTTGAGCCTTGCTGTTTCCAACGCAGTGGGAGGAACGGGAAATCCCACTTCAGCCTCAGGCCTCAAGTCCTCATTATACACCATAGCTTATCAATATAGTTTATACAACACAGTTTGATAAGTTAGAACTTTATTTCCTATTTGGCTAGTAAAACTTCTGCATACATTGTTGGAAAGGAGGAGTGGTGAGTGATACCCTGAGTTCTGTGAAATAAAGAAAGGTATTAAAGAAAGAAAATAATTAAAAAAAAAAAAAACTGCTGACAAGAAAAGAATGGTTTGAGATCATAGAACACTTATCTGCAAGTACTTCATTGACACTGTGTAAATCTTCATACATTACGTCTATTCTGTTATAAAATATGATAATAATAATGTATCTGAGAAAAAAATTGTCTTTTAAAATGCCTTTTTAAGACCACCAACTTTGAATTTAGACCAGGGTTTGTTGTTTACTAGTTGTATGTGGGCAAGCTTTATAACCTCTCTATATCTATTTTCCACTAGCAAAATGAGGACAAACTCTTGTTTTGAAAGATTTTTGCGAGGATTTTAAATTGTGATGATTATCCAGACATTGCTTGACACATTATGGTAACTCAATAAATGGTAGCTAATGATGGGTTATCAGGAATAGGCTCACACTCTCCAGCTCATGGATATGCTGACTCCATATATATGAGAAAGATATACATAACTTGCCTGGAGTAGAGTTCTAAGGACTATCATTCTATAGGCATGCACAGACCATCCAACCATCTATTCATTCATTCATTCAATAAATGCTTAGTATCTAGTAAGTGTTGTGGAGACTCAAAGATAAAGAAGCCTTGATACTTTTCTTCAGGCATTTCTAATCAGTAGGGAAGATATAGGAGGATCACAAACAATGAGAGAGTGTAGAAGGCAATAAGAATTTTAATACGAAGAATGAAAGTGCTTTAGGATATCTGAAGACAGAAAAACAACTTCTTTGTGGCTAACATCTATAGTAGCAGTTAAGGTTTGTGGTCAGCCACTCTATGTCACTCAAGAAGATTAGGCGTCCTCCTTTAAAAGTTCCTGGTTCCAATCATAGAGGTCAGAGTAGTGGGTTCCATGTAGTACCTAGGTGTTCAAAACAAGGAGAGCCATACTTTCTTTCCTCCACATGACTATTGTACAATACTCCATTCCAGTTTTTCTCAGAGCCAGCATCAAATAAGGAGATGTTTAGAGTCTCTGAGTTATTTTCCTAACAAAATTCTAAAATTAAATACTTTGTATGTTACATTTTCAAGTTCTATTTCATGGGTAATTTATTACAACAAGCATTTTGGTTTGAGTATCTTAGAAAAGTGAGCTATATAAATGTGAAAAGTTTTTTTCAAGAATGGTTTATTTAATAACAGAAATAGAAGACGCCTCTAATTTCTTATGTTTTGAAAAGTGACAATTTAAAATGAAGGGTTGGACTTTATCTTTCCCTTCAGAGGGTTCACAAAGAAAGAATACTTTGACAGTGAAATTGTATTTAGAAAAAAAATAATTCTCTCATTCAAAACTTCAGCTCTTGGAAAATTTTTTTCATGTCATTGAACCACGATTGATTTCACTTGTTATCCCTATAGCACTAATGTTTATACAGTTTGTACCAAGTTATTTCAATTTTAAAGAAGCCAATCTTAACATTACCTGTTGGAGTCATACAGAATATTTACTAGGAGAATAAACTGAGTCTGCTGGTAAAATTTTAGTTATATGGATTATTATCATCATCATCATTATTGGAGAATTCAAAGGATTTTGAACAGTTAGATTTTCCACTGCTAGTATCAAGTGGAAGATTTAAGCAATAGCCCGGGTCTGGGACAAGTAATTCATGAATGTCACTTAGCTTTCCATTCTGTAAAGCAGAGTGATTTTTGCCCAACAAGAATGTTTTAAGTGACCCTGAGTCAATTAGCTTCAATTCTTAATATATAGCATATTGGTTGAAAGTGTAATTTCTGGAGTCAGACCGGCTGGATTCAGATTCTGGTCCTGCCCACACTATCAGTATGAACTTTGGCATCACTTTTTTCATCTATAAAGTGGGAGGGGGATAATTGCTCCCACCTCATGCAGTCTAGGTATGTAAGAATTAACAAGAGTAAATCACTAAGAACAGTACCAGGCACATAGTGAGTGTTAATTACCAATAATCCCCAACAACACTGTATGACGGTTACCTAAAAGGTTCTAGTCACCAATTCCCATGTGTGGGAAGGTTTTTTTTTCCCCACGCCAGCTAGCGATTCTCAGACACCAGCTGAATGTCCTACAATTTAACTCGATTCTGATGCTATCTACTGGGAGATTGCCTCAGATTCCACAGGTTAAGGGCTCAGTCCTGCACGACTTCCCCTCTCATCTCAAGCCAAGGTCAACACCTGTGCTTCTGACTGACTGGCTATAGATTGGAGATTCCAATGACCCCCTCCTTGGGTTTGATTAATTTGCTAGAGTGCCTCACAGAACTCTGAGAAACATTTTACTTGCTAGATCACCAGTTTATTGTAAAAGGAGATAACTCAGGAACAGCCAGATGGAAGAGATGTGTAGGGCAGGATACGGGGAAAGGGCACAGAGCTTCCATGCTCTCTCCAGGGGCACCACTCTCCCCACATCGCCACGTGTTCACCAACCCTAAGTCCTTTGAACCCATCCTTTTTTTTTTTTTTGTATGAAGATTTCATTACATGGGCGTGATTCATTAACTCCTTGGCCATTGGCTATTGATTCAACCCGAAGCCTCTCTCCCCTACTGGGAGGTTGGGCAGTGGGGTGGAACTGAAAGTTCCAACCCTTTAATCACTTTGTTGGGTACCCTGGCAACCAGCCCCCATCCTTAGATGCTTTCTAAAAGTTACCTCATTAACGTAACAAAAGACACATTTATGCTCTCATCACTTAGGAAATTCCAATATTTTAGGAGCTCTGTGTCAGAAACAGGGACAAAGACCAAATATATATTTCTTATTATAAATCAGATAATAAGAAATATCTTTATTTCTTATTATTCTTATCTTATTCTACAGATAAAAAAACTGAAAAATGTAAAGGTAAAATGATTTGCCCCTAGACACAGGGTTTAGCAGGTAGCAACAGATGGATCTAAAGAGTCTGACCCTAAAGTTTATTCAGGCAGAAATAGCAATAACAAGTTTGAGTTTTTCAAGTTGCTTTTAGTGCAGTGCTGGTCTCCATGTATGAAACAATCTCTGTATGTCTTACACTTGTTAATACACATTCCGTGCTGCAGTTGGAAGAGGAAAGTCCTGGAATGATACAAATGAAGGAGAAAAAGTGTCAGGATGTTGTTTTAGAAATATAGCAATGTAAGTGAGGGAGAGAAGTGGCTGTATAGTATAGCTCAAGAAAACAGGCATGCCAGCATGGTATATTATTGTATGCCAGGCCACCTGAGCTAGAGATAAGTTCAAAAAGTAAGTAAAGTATTCCTTCGCCTCCTAGGTTTAGGATAAATGTTTATTAAAAACTTGGAATTTTGTGAATATAAAATTGCAGTATTTACTATGTATTTGCCATGAAAACCACTATTTGCCCTTTACTCATTGAGGAATTCTCAATAGTTTATACTCTAGTGTTTTCAACACAAGCACTGCTGGTGTTTTTCTCTAGACTCTTGGCCTCAGGTTCTAAAGAGTCTAACCAAAAGACGAAAAACATGATTATCTTTGCAATAGAGTGTTACTGTAAATAGACCAAATGTTTTAAAGTATTATTTTTTGGAGGGAGAAAGTTGGAAGAAGAAAAACAGGGACTTGGGATAAACCACCACAATAACGGTGCACTTTGGGTCAATTATTTTGACCCTGTTGTCACGTACTTGCATGTTTTCTAAGTTCTGTCTAGGTCTACGTCAGCTATTAGGCCTGCCTGATCTTAAAGTTACCATTCACTACTAAGGAATTCCATGTATGCTGAATTCCATGCTGAATGGTCTGGAAGGCACATTGCTTAGTACAATAAACAGAATTAATATTGAGAAAGATCTTTTGGCCAATACCTGCTGGTTGTTTCAGAACATGTTTCTCTTTCTTCCTGAGTACACAGATTAACTACATTTCCTAGTTTCCCTTAGATAAGCATGGTTTTGTGACTGAATTCAGCCCCTTGGAATGTGGGCAAGAGTAATATGTGTCACTTCCAGGTTTGGTTTATGGAAATCTCCTATGGGATCCTCTAGTCTTTCTTTCCCTTTCTGCTGGATGAATGAAGAGGGTGCTGAAGCCTTAAAGGTGAGGAAAGCCACAGATAGAATGACCCTAGTTTCCTGAATGATGGCATAGACAGAGCAACCCACAACTCCCAACACCAATTGGACTTTATGTGAGAGAGAAATTAACTTCTCTTGGCTTAAGTCTTTGAGATTTAGGGGTTAATCTATTACCTGTGGAGGAAGCTGTGATAAGCCTTATTACAGAAGGTCTTTCTTCAGGAATGAAGGACTTATTCCCAGGGAGTGCTGCAAACAGATAGCCCCCAGTCATCAGCCACCTTTGAGAATGCGTGGACTGGAGAGTTCTGTCTTGTCAAAGGTCATACTCCCTTCTAAGAGTGGATTTTATCCAACGACTGGTGAACAAGTCGGTACAAAGGCTTGTGGCCCACTCAACTCAACTGGGAATAGCTGTGAGAAGCCACCTCAGTGGCAGAGCTCCCCATGAGTTGGGTAGAGGACTTTGTTGAGACTTTATTATAGAACAATTTCTTCTACCCAATGCTGCTTCCTTCCTTTCTTCCTTCCACAGGTATTGATGTCAAGAACACTTCCTTTATAGGAATATCCTGCATGACAATCTCCATCTGAGTGTGCAAGGAGTTAATGGCAACAAAAGCATCTCAGATACGCATTCTTTTTGTGTGGGCCGTGTGCCTTTTTCCAAATAACATCTCTTTGCATAACAAGGATTTCAATATTTACTTATTTAGAACCCACATCTTTCCTTCCTTGGCTTTACTTGTGAGACAAATGAAAGATGAAAAATCTTAACTTAATTCAAAATTAATTCCAGGCAGTATATTTATTGTTTCAGCTGAGACCATAGTCTTCGAGTGACCTGAATCAAAACCCAGATCTCCTACTTGCTAGTGTGGGAAATTAGGGATCTTCTTAACTTCTTTAATCTTCAATAGCTTCATCTATAAAATGGGATAATATTAGTACCTACTCAGAGGGTTATTGTGAGGATTAAATATGATAATATATTCAGAACAGTCAGTACAGTGCCTGAAGCTTGATATATACTTAATAATGGTTGCTATTATAATCTAGTCTTAATTTGCCTTTTTAGACTCACTTGTTCTTACTGCCTCTACTAAAGTCAAACTTGACTAACCTGCTGTGTTAGCAACTACACAGTCCTTTGTTCTACCACACTGAAACACTCTTTTACTTTTGCATGTTCTGCTTACCCTTCAGGGTCTACCTGAATTGCATCCTCCTCAGAAATTCTTGGTACCTCTTTCTGGGTAAAATATCTCCCTTTGCTAAACTCTCATAACAATTTATCTTCACTTCTTTTATGACAGCCACGTGTCACCTCTGCTACTAGATTGTAAGCAGCTCAAAGTCAAGTCCCATGTCTAATTCATCTTTACATTTGCTGAAGCACTAGCACAGTTCTATGCATAAAATAAGACCTCAATAAATATTTATTACACAATTGTGTGAATGAATGAGATCAACAGTGTCCTCATCTGAAATTTGCATATATGCAAAATGAAATTCCAACCCATAATTATCAAGAACAGGGTCTTATACCAGCATTACCATATTGGATAAAGTATCATGGTTTCCCACACAAAAGATTCTGAAAGAAATAATACCAACAGATTGCTATCATTATTTTTTTTATTTTTTATTTTTTTTGTGAGGAAGATCAGCCCTGAGCTAACATCCATGCCAATCCTCCTCTTTTTGCTGAGGAAGACTGGCCCTGAGCTAACATCTATTGCCAATCTTCCTCCTTTTTTTCCCTTTTTTCCCCAAAGCCCCAGTAGATAGCTGTATGTCATAGTTGCACATCCTTCTAGTTGCTGTATGTGGGACTCCGCCTCAGCATGGCCAGACGAGTGGGGCGTTGGTGCGCGCCCGGATCCGAACCTGGGCTGCCAATAGCGGAGCGCACGCACTCAACCGCTAAGCCACAGGGGCCGGCCCTATCATTATTTTTTAAAAGGAAATTAAAATGCAGCTAAAGTTAGAAGCAAGAAAATACAACATAGCAGTAAAATCATTTATTTACTTATCAAATACTTATATTGGCATGTATTATGTGACAGAAATTTTTCTAAGAACTTTATAAATATTAAATCATTTAATCTTCATAACAACCCTGTGAAGTCAGTGCTGTCCTTGGTCTCATTATACAGATGAACAAACGGAGGTACAGAGAGGTTAAGTCACTGGCTCAAAAACACTCAGACAAAAAATGGCAGAGCCAGGTACTCAAGCCAGGTACTCCACTGTTACACTCCGCTGCTTTCCACCTCTTTGGAGTCAGTCTCACTGCACTACACCACGATCTGCTGCTGCTTCCTCTGCTCTCATGCTCTAATCATTTTCTACTGGCTGGTGAGAATTATGTATCAACCACTGCACACTGGTTTCCTGACAAGCAGAGTTCGTCCTTTATGTGATTGGTTCGTACAAGATAAGTCAGGAAAATAACAAAACAAAAGGAGTACCTGACATTGTAATCAGTGCCAGGTGCACAGTAGGCAGGCTAAAAAAAATATGTTTCTTGAATGAAGAAATTAGACAAGAAGAGATTGTGTTCTTGTTAGTGAGCCATAGAGTAATCCCAGATGTATTTGGGTAGTTAGCTGCAGACTCACATGCTTGAAATTTTATGCCTTATTTAAAAAAAAAAAATCAATGGACAATGTGCTTAGAGTTTAGATATATCCTTTCTTAAGTCTCAGTCTAAAAATAATTTTATTACTGTCTAAGTGTTTAGAAATCACACGTCTGAGAGGACCCAGACTTCTCAGAGAGGAGGCATTGCTCTGCTATAACTGATAATACAATTACAGTGCAATGGATTTTAACCATCGCAGAAGAAGAGATGATAGCTATAGGAAAAGTAGAAATTGACTGATTCTTCATAGCATAATGCTCAGGGAATAAAGCAATTCCCAGAAGAATATATGCAATATGACATCTGTTTTATACAGTTCAAAAGGAAGTATACATCTATATGCAATAAAGGGGGAAAAAACCAACAAGAGAATGATAAAAACAAAATTCAGCATAGAGGTTGCTCTGGCACAGTGGGGAAGGGGAGATGTGGAACAAGAAGTAACACAGAGATAGATATAAGTCACTGGTAATATTCTATCCTTTAGGTAGTTTGATGGGTTCATAGAATTCTATTCAGTAAATAAGCAAACAAATAATCAAACAAATAGCATTTAAAAGGGCCTTAATGATCAATGATGATAATGGTCATGAACCAAGGGTTATGATTAATCCATTCTTATGCCCCTGATATAGTAACAATTAAAAGTAAACTACCCTAAAAATAGATTTATAAATATATTTTAAATGATATTTAACAGATTTTTGAACGTGCCAAGTACTCATAAGCTAAGAGAGGTCTGTCTTTTACCAAATTTAATGGTTAATAACAAATTTAAGTGGAAGAGGTGTGGTTTGATAAAGGCTAAACAAAGGAAAATGGAAGATTTCATT